TAAACAGATGGAAGGAACTAGTATTAAGAAGGATCAGGAAAAGCTTTTTACAGGAGGTCGGATTTTAGCTAGACTCAACTTCCTAGCCTGGGAAGCTGGGAAGTGGAGAAGAGGAAGGAGAGAATTCCAGGCATGGGAGAGAACAAGTAAAAACTCTTGAGAGATGAAATGGCTCATGAGAGGAACAGCAAGAAAACTATTGTCACTGGATTTCAGAGTACCTGGTAGGCGGAGGTAGGACAGGGCAGTAAAGTGTAAAAAAACTGGAAAGGTAAGAAGAGGACAGATTACAGAGGGCTTTATAATCCAAATGGAGGATTTTATTTTAGATCCTGGAGGGAATAGGGAACCATTGGAGTTTAGTGGAAGAGGTGGGGTGACATGGCAAGTCTTCTACTTCAGGAAAATCAGCTTGGCAGCTGAGTGGAGGATGGGCTGGGTGGGGACTTGAGTCTGGAAGACCAATTAGCAGGTTTTTTCAAAAGTTGACTATAACTATCAGAAAGGAAACAATTAGGCAGTAGCATGAAGTTGAACCTCAGAGTCAAGAAAGGGTGATTCAAAGGGCTTGTAATAAAGCTTGCTGAAGGTGGAGGATGAGGTTTGGACACTTCAGGAGATCAGCATTTACAAAAGGCAGTCGTGGGCCTCAGCATTAACTCCTAGTAGGGATGGGAAGAAGTGGTTGGGTATTTGGGAAATTATGGTTATGTGATGATAGTAAAAAGTTCCAGAGGCTCAAAGTCAAAATAGGATGCCAACAGTAGTATCACGCAATGAGAAGAATTAGAAAGAACAGTATTAGAATTCTAGGACTTGGGATATATATTTTCTACTGCATCTTACTATATTTATGGAAAATAAGCATTCATGGGAAGATATTATAGACAGTCCTTGAAAAGGTAAGGAATTAGAAAGAGAATGGAAAGAAAACCCTTCTTTAAAAGAAAACAGGCAGAAAGACAACAAGGCACTCTCTGCTCTCAAGGAAACCAATGAGGGTGACAACGTGTAAAAAAAACTATATATAAACATGATATATACAGGATAAACTGGCAATAATAAACAGATGGAAGGAACTAGTATTAAGAAGGATCAGGAAAAGCTTTAAAAGGGGAATTAGAAACCAGTATGAGTGAAATGGAGGCAGCTAGGTGGCTCAGTGGATACAGCACTAGACCTGGAGTCAGGAAGATGTGAGTTCAAATCTGGTCTCAGACACTTTCTAGCTATGTGACCCTCAGCAAGTCACTTAATCTCTGTTTGTCTTAATCCACTGGAGAAGGATATGCAAACCACTACTGTACCTTTGCCATTGGTGCCACAGCATTGGTCCATGGGGTCATGAAGAATCAGACACAACTGGACAACAACAATGAATGAAATAGAAGACAGGAATGAGCATCTGTGGGTGTGGGTGATAGCCAGAAGAACAGATAACACTATTATCAGAGTTTATATAAGAAAAGGCTAAACAAATGAGAGACAGACATACAAATACAGAGAGACACAGAGAGAATAGCAATAAAAGAAAACTCAAGGATCTTGGGACTCCTATGCTCACCAACTTCAAAATCACCTACTTGGCCTCCACTAAGTAAAATCTCCATTTTTTTCTTCTTCCTCATTTTATCCTTTGAGCCTCCTAGTCAACAAAACTACCCCACCATTCAAAGTCTAGTTCTTCCACAAATTGTTACTTTGTGACTAGTAAGAGGTCAGATTGTTGAAATCATAACAAGAACTTTGTCTTCCCATACATGCCCCCACTGAACTCAACTCTTCTAGCTTTCTAGTAAACTGCAAAGATTTTAAAATAAAAAGTTGTATTTGTTCCCATCATAATTAGAATATATGATCTGATAAAACAGGATTGTCTTTTGTATGCCCTGTTCAACATCTAGCAAATGTGTTTCTCAGTCAATATGAAATTAATCACAGGCTTCTGGTAACTGGGTTATGTAGCACTTAACTCAAAAGGATAAAGGGAATACTGTAGCTAGAAAATGAAAGTGAGACGCACTTAACATAGGAAAAAAAATGATCATAATGCAACCAACAATATTATTGGAAGGAAGGCAGGGCTTAAGTATTTGTTAGCCCAGGCAGGAATTGCTCTGTAATCTTGGGGACTCTGTGCTGTACAAAGGCATGGAGAGTTTAGGTATGGACCAAAGCATCTAATCCTCAACCAAATAAGAATAAATTCAAGCATATTCCTATCCAAAGCATACCATTTTAATTTGAGGGCTTCAGTAATATGTAATTTTTCACACAATAAAGACTGATTTTTTTAAACAATAGTGCTTTTTGTGTGTGTGGTTTGCTTTCAAACCTCCAAAGACTCACACAAGTGTTTTTTTTTTTAATTGGTCTTTTTAAATGAACAATTCATAAACATGAATCAAACCTAGTAGAGTCAAATATACTCTCTCTGCCAAACTCTCATTTGCATCCCTGAAAACAATTGACAACCCTTTAGGGAAAATCAGTGCTTTCAAACATTATGTAAAAAGGGGATGAACATGCATTTTACAAAATAAGTGTTTATAAGCTTATTGCCTTTCCTTCCTTTCATCCCCCACTCCGAGGAATTCAGTCTTAGGGCCACTCTCTCGCCCACCACATCCTCAGAGAAGGAATCCTGAAAGATGGGATTATGTTTGCAGTATAAGAGACAGGGAAGACCTTATGGCATTGTATCTTCTATGGGCTAATCCACAACTTAATTTTCTTTCCTTGGTCTGCTATCTTATGTCTGTATGTATGCCTCTGATATTACCAAAAGAACATTCCAAATATTGACATTCTTTCATAAGCATCAGTCTGGGGTGAGTGGAGAGTTTAGAGCTCTAAGACATCCTAGACGCTTTATTCAATCCAGTCCTCTCCTAGCTGAAAAGAAGTGAACAGAGCTCCGGAGTTGGAGTCAGGAAGACTTGGGTTCAGATTCTGCTTCCTACTTAGAAGTTCTGTGTCTCTGGGTAAGTCCCTTTACCTCTCTGTTCTTTAATTTTCTCATCTGTTAAATGAGTAGGTTGAGCTAGATGGCCTCTGGGGGCCCTTCCAGCACTAAGTCTATGAACTTGTAAAACTGAGGTTCAGAGAAGCTGTGACTTGACCAGCTAATAAGTAGCAGAGCAATATTTTGAATCCAATTTCCCTGCCTCCAATCAATAAAAGAATCAATAAACATTTGATAAGCACCTAGTATGTGCCAGGCACTGTGTTAAGCACTGGGGATACACAAAAAGGGAAAGAATCCTGCCCTCAGGGAGCTTACAATCTAATGGAGTGAAAAAGTTAAAGGAGGGAAAAGCAGTTGTCCCATAAGGTTTGAAGTCAATGATAATAAAACATGGATAAATATACTCATGAAATAAGGTTTAGCAAATTCTCCACTAAGCTGCTACTTCCAGCTCTCACTTTTCCATTAAACCACAAGAAAATAATTCATGAGAGAAATAAATAAATAGGACAGCCATTTCCTGACTGTTGACACATGGAGTTTGTGGCCAATCCAAGTCTTTCTTGATGTAATTTAGAGAATTGCCCTTTGCAAACCATGCCATCATACTTGTTCCCAGATGAATATATAGACGGCTCTTTTCTACCTTTTCTGAGGCTACCAGAGTATATTAGTTTTGGTTCCAATTAAAGGACCAGTATTTGGAGGACATTTTTTTTTTCAGGTCAATATGGTTCTGATTGTTCCTACATTTTAACCATCAGCGCCATCATTAGATAAAAGGTACTCACAACTGGATGAAGCGGTGTTCCTGGAAACATAAATTGCATCTGCTGGGCAAGCATTGCTGCTGCAGTTTTTTGTTGGATCAAATTGTTCCTCCCGTTAATTTCTAGTTGGGTTTTTAAATGTGTCGGTGGGTGAAGATACTTGCAGTTCTCCCTTGAGCAACGACCCTACAAAGGAAACATTCCAAAAAAAAAATTTAAAGCTTTTAAAAGGAGTTCAGAATTGGTGCTATACCAAAGTCTATGATGGACCCAGAAACACAACCCCCTCCCTGCCCAGGCCACTCTGAGGGTGGCATAACATCTAACTGCAGACCTGTCAGAGGAGAGATGTAGAAGCTTCCTGAATTTATTGCTGGGACACTCTCTCTGAAAACATGGCCTAGCAAATTGTTTCAGGTGGGCTTCTGCTCCAGATGAACATTACAAGGAATGGAAATGACAGGGAGGGCAGGGGCACAGTTATGCTGCTTCTCGACATGTAGGTCAAAGTGCTTGCTATGAACTGGTTAGAACAGCTAGGTGGTACAGTGGATAGTGATGGACCTAGAGGAAGGAACCTGTCTAGACCTGGCAACTGGACCTAAATTCAAATGAAGTCTCAGACACTTACTAGCTATGTGACCCTGGGCAAGCCACTTAACCCTGTTTGCCTCAATTTCCTCATGTGTAAAATGAGCTGGAGAGGGAAATGGCAAACCACTCCACTATCTTTGCCAAGAAAACCCCAAATGGAGTCATGAAGAGTTGGACACCACTGAAAAAACGACACAACAACAAAATGGGAAATGATAATAGCACCTACCTTCCAGGGCTGTTTAAATGATATAGTATTTGTGAAGCACTTTGCAAATCCAAAGTGCTATGTAAATGTTAGTTATTATTATTAAACTGGTTTATTTGTGCCAGACAGACATCAAGGTAAATGTAGGCAGAATGGACAGCAATCCCTCCACTACTGCCCTACTCCAAGGTTTCCCTTTTGCCTCTGGGGCAAAATACAAACTTGTCCAAACTGCCTTTCCAGGCTTATTATATTTTATTCTCCTTTACGTTTTAGCCAAACTGGCCTACTTACTATGTATTGTAAATGATAACACTCCATGTTCAATCTCCATGCTGTTGCACAAACTATTTCCCATTTCTGGAATGCATCTCCTTTTCACTTTCACCTTGAAGAATCTCTATCTCCTTTTAAAGCTCAACTCAAATGTCCCCTCCTATACAAGGGCCTATTTTTACTATCATCCCAGTCCCAGATTCTAGTGCCCTTCCCCAATCTCCAAATTTGTACTTAATTCTCCATATACATTTTGTTCCCTTCTCCCTCTTCCCAGTAGAATATAAGCTTCTTGAGGACACAGACTGTTTAGCTTTTGTCTATGGATCCCTGCCATCTGGTATAATGCCTGGCACATGGTAGGTGATTAATAAATATTTATTGAATATTGAATGAATCATGGTGTGGTGGTTACCTTAGAGTCTTAAAGCTATGCCCGTGGAGGACAAGTTCTGGGAGGTGCCATCATTCTGGAAAAGTTTCAAGAACAGGCCAGGTAATGAACTATATATCTACTGTGTTAGAATTGTTCTGATCTTGGAGTTGCACAGCTTCAAACATTCTTTTTTTTTGGACTATAATAATATACCATTACCAATCTACTAAGGGATTGTGATCTGAATCAGTGGAAGGAGTGGTCACAGAAATGAAATTACAGGTCCTTTTATTACTGAAGCATAAAAACATGCAGTAATCAGAATTAGGATGTCTTATAAGATCATACTGCCCCATCATTAAAGGTGTTAAAGGTGGGGCTGGATGACTACTCATCAAGAATGAGAGCTAGCATGGCATAGTAGAAAGAGCACCGAACCCATAGGATACCTGTGTTTAAATCATTAAATACTACTTCAGTAGTATTTTTCATTAGCTGTGAGACCCTGGGCATTTTGTAGTCTTCATCTCAGAGCCTCAGTTTACTCACCTGTAAAATGGGAATAATAATATTTACACTAATAGTGCTTCTATGAAGAATGTACTATATACACATGTGAATTATTATTATTATTATTATTGTTGTTGTTTACTATGATTAAGATTCGTACATGGACTATATCAAGAATTCTTAATATTTTTTATGTCATGGTCCCCTTTGCCAGTCTAGTGAAACTCCTGGAACCTTTCTTAGAATAATGTTTTTAAATGCAGAAGATAAAATACAAGGGTTACAAAGGAAACCAATTACATTGAAATATTATCAAATATATACATGTGTGTCTGTGTACATATACATGCAGAATATTCATAATCACACAAACAGATACATATTATATATGTGTGTGTATATATATATATATACATATACACACACACACATATATACACTGTATGGATTATCTAGCTAGGATTCTTAACCTAGGGTCTGTAAATTTTACACACACATAAATAGACATAGACATAGACATAGACATAGACATCGACATAGACCTCTCTCTCTCTCTGTATGTATGTAAAGTTTACAGATCCCAAGTTAAGAATCTTGGCTAGATGATCTCTAAAGACCCTTACAACTCAGAGATTCTATGATTCTATCCGGGTTAGCTATTTACACTGCCCAAATTTACTAGATAAATGCCTTTTCCTCACCATTGAAATAGCAATGACAGGAGCATAGGCAAAACAGACACTCCCTGGCAACAGATGAGAAATTAGTCAAAAGAGAAGGTTTCCAAGTGTTTACCTTATAATTTCCTGTAGTTGTTTGCAGGCTACGTGAATCTGAACCTCACTAAGCATTCTAGAACAGGAACACACTGATTTCTGGTGATTGAGGTATGGTGAAAAAGGTATCAGTGACAGTGTAAATGCCTAATGGTAAACTGCTAAGGGGGTGTGTGTGTGTGTGTGTGTGTGTGTGTGTGTGTGTGTGTGTGATGCTAGGGGACTGTGAACACTACAGTTTGATCAGCTGAGTGACAGCCATGCATGAGCAGGGACCTGAGTAGTAACAGAATTTGGAATGAAATAAAGTTTGAACTTTATTTCCTAAATAACAATATTTTTATGCATCACCTATTCAGAATGAAATGTTCATTTTAAGTGATAAAAAGTTTCTAGAAAATAAAGACCCAAATCAAGATATGTTAACCAGCATTACGTTTGAGTCCTTAATAATCTTTATTATTTGTCCACTGACCATCAAGGGAATGATTTTATTTACAAGCTTCATTAAAAAGCAGACATTCTGCAGAAAAAGGAACAATAGATATAACCTCAGTTGTCTAATTCTTAATATCTATAGTTAACATGTTTTACACAGACTTAATTTACTTTTGGGCTGCCTACAATTTGCTTGGCTTGATCTTCCCTATACAATTGCAGGCTGTATGCTCAGATATAGCCAGCCTGTTTTTATGAAGGACAGAGAATCTTCTAGTGAGAGCCCTGCAGGAGTTTGCAATTTAGATGTAAAAAAGATGGGACTGGTATTGAATATGTAAAAATTTTTCCCCTATGAGCAGCTTTAAATACTGCAGGGCCCAGGATTTACCTCTTTCTCAGTCCACATTAATACTGATGCGCACAAATGCTTACCTCATATATACATATATTTATGTATGTATATATGTATGTATGTATATACACACACATATCTCCAAGGATTCAAGGAGGCATGTACAGACCTATGAGTGAAATGAATAAAAAGGCTAGTGTTAGAGAAAGCACAGAATTCCAGAGTGGAGGAATAAGATGAGCTATATTTCCATACACCAACCAATTTAGTTGTTAAGATCTGGCTCCTAATGTAATTGTCTGTATGATGGCTAATCTTTTTGTTTGCTTCTGTGTTAGATATATTGAGAAGAAAAACATCTGTTTGGGGCTGAAAAACAGCATTTGCTTGCAAATACCAGTTAGTATACTGAACTGGTTGGTAATTTATTAATGGAACTCTGTTTCCATGAGAGTTAATGCAACTTCCTAATGTGCCTTCCTCATTCCCAGTAAGAATAATGTGCAATATTGCCTTTCATAGCAGAATCGATTGGGCAGGAAGAATTAGTATCTGAGAAAGAATGTAGATTTTTGAGGGCATTATGTATTATTTAGTTGATTCTGTAAGTGAACATGGAGTACTGATCAGAGAAAAATAAGTATTCTTGATGACAAGATGACAGATGCTTACAGATGCTACAGAATCATCCAGACATACATTAGTTTCTTGTTAGGTTCTGTGGTGGGCAATGGGACCTAATCAATATCTGAAAATTTATGTCAAAGTTAATTTAAAATGAGTGTCCACAATGCAATAATGTATATGTTTAACATTATCTTAAACAGAATGGGGTAAGTCTCTAGAAATACTCCATCCAAAGATGCTTTTTCTGGATTGTCATCAGTTTTGAAGTATACCACCTATGGGTAGGTGCATATATTCTAAGAACAAAACTGAAGTATACCACATAGCATAATCTTGAGATGATCTCTTGTAGGCTTCAAAAATCTCAAAGAAAAAACAATTTTGTGAAAAGGAATGAGCTATTTGATATAGTTAACAATGTGTAAGAAAATACCCAGGTAGACAGAAGATAGATAGAAGCACATCATTATGCAAACGTGACTGAATGTCACACAGTATGTCACAAAAAAAAAAAAATGAAGAAAGCAGGGTATAGAAATGCAAAAAAAAAATGTTGATGTGTCAGGAAAAACCCATCACCCTTTGAATTTTATACTACAAATGAGGAGACAACATATCCTTCTGGAGAAAAGTTGGACAAGTTGTACTTTTAATCATTTTCTTTCCTACTGCTAATCTGACTTCTTCCTTATATATTCTCTATCTCTGTCTCTATCTCCTTATCTCTCTTATTTTTAGTTTTTTATTAAAAATATGGCAGAAATATGTGAGAAGCCAAAAGTATGATGACTCTGTTATTGGATTACAGCAACTTCAGGAATTCTTATGTTTGCAATGGCATAGGTATTTGAATGATGTGAAGAAGAGGGAAAAGGCTTGAGTAAAAAACTATAGGGATACAGGTAGAGTCTTTGAGGACATTTTCCTGCTTTTTGAAGCATAGGAAGCACAATGAGGTGGAGCCAAGCTGGCAGAGTAAAGGTAGGGACTCACCTGAGCTCTCTCCCCCTTTAAAAAGTGACTCTA